GCATGTGAGGATGTTCCCGGTATTTGACTGCTTCGCCCAAACGCAACAGTTCCCAACAGTATAGTGTGCCTACACTGGAGTCATAGACAGTGATGCATAATTAGTTTCATTTTTGTCTCGATCCTGAAGAGCTTACACAACATTCAACATATTCCAGCCTAACCTAACCATTCCAGCATTGTATATTTCACCTTGAATATTCCTTCAACAAACAAGAAGAAAGGCATTTATACATGTTTATTCATCAGTTCCTATATACAGACGTAGTAACAGTCTGAGCACCATGCATCAGTATCCACACACCCACTCATCAGTGACATCAGCATCCGATAGTCAAGCTTTCCTTGAACACGATACGTTGTATAGATGGCAACAATATGAAGTCCTGATGGTTCACAAATAGTGTCACACATACATGGCAGGAAGATTGCTATTCAAACCGTTAAAGATGTCCAAAAAAAATTGAGAAAATTGCTCCATTAATAGACCCAAATTTTAAGTATTGACCCTAAAGCTAATTGACTAACAATACAGTTTTTCACCGGCAGTGGTTTGAGATATATATATATCCAATGAAACCTCACTTTTCCTGAAGGTACTGTTCCTTATGAAATTGAATTCCTTTGAGAACATAAAGTTCGTTTATAGATAAATTGATACGTAATCCATCCTTTTTTCTAAAACCCTCTCATATTAATCTATTAATGTCACAAGAAAATGCCTTCGAAAAGTTTGAACCCTAAATAATGTCTGATCCACCTATTTACAGGACTAGGTACTGATTTAGTGAACCATGAACTGTTAGGGAGCAATGGTCTTGCCCAAAAAACAAAGCACTGTCTACATCATCTACAACAGATATAACGCATAAAAGAAGCACAAATCAAAGATTCATACACATTGGTACCACTACAGTTAGAATTGAAACAAACCGTCAAACAGTGTTACACAAGATATTCTATTCCAAGATTGTTAAATGTTTGAACACTAGTAAAAGGTGGACCAGCACAAAGCAACCATCTTGGCCATTTTCCTTTCATTCCATTTCTCCACCCTCTTCATTCAAGTCACATTTTTACAACGACAAAACTCAAATACTAACTGTAACATGTTAATGGTGAATTAAATCTCTTTATCCCACCACCACAACTGGGGCTGTGAAGATATACTGGTCTACATACTTATCATTTATACTGTCACAATACAATACTTAAATTCTCATAATCCCATCCGATGGCATAAAATCTAGAATGCTGGAGGTATCTGATTCAGACAAGTAGGAATAACCTTTGGGAAGAAACAACTGGGAATTATTCATAAAAAAAATATCAAAGCAATTGTATATTTTTCACATTATTTTGAAAAGGTATGCATGCATATTAAACAAGTATAGCCAGGGATGAGAATGGATGTTTTCCTTTTCAGCTGAAACTTTTTTGCAATGGAGAGTGGTCCATAATTTGGGGGTGGTTACGGGGGATTGTGGTCACTAAAATTAGCGTATCCATGGAAGATTCTCACCCCTGTTTAGCTCTTGGTGGCTAGTTATTGAAACTACTTTTCATTTTTATCATTACAGATGTAGACTTCTGGTTTACTGACTTCTTGTCAATAGAACTCCTGTCTGTTTGGTTGGAATGATTTCTGACAGAATGGTGCCGCCATGTGAATTGTAAATGAAAGAAGAGGAACACTAAACATGAGATGAACACTACATCTTTCATGTAATTACTACTAACAGTGTAGTGCATCAGTGTTTGCTGACAGTCTAAATTGATTGATGAAATACCATGGGGCCCAGGTCAATTGAGAGGCATTGATAGTTAATTATAATAAAACTTCCAGTCATGCTGTGGCATTTGATGAGCTAAACAAGCAATATTGTTTGCGTTTATGTTTTCATAAACTGAAAAATGTTTAGGACATGGCCACAGACTGGCTTAGGATAGTGTTGCATTTATTGAGTTGAATGATGTCAGAGATTTTGTATTGTCCACAGTATTTCATAAGCAGTCTGTAAACTTATTATTGTTGATGGACCTGTTTATAAAAATTTACTTCAATATGGTTTTGTGTTTATGGACTTTTAATGTAAAAACTTGTGTGCACAGTGGTTTTCAATTCATGCTTCTAAAACGTAAAACAATATTCAAGTTTATTGTTATTTAACACCTCTGTGCAGAATAAAATGACCAGTTTGTAGTTTTTCCAGGACTATTTGTATCATATCACAATGAATCAGTACTGGACATCTTATTGATAGCACAGCATAATTACAGCCCCAACAACAACACATATAACATGCCCAACCGAAGAAAATCAATTTAACATGCATATAACAATGTCTGAAATGTTCGTGATGAACACATTACAGTTCGAAACCAGCACAAGGCAAGAAAGAGACAAATATTGATTGTGAGCGAGTGGGGTTTAGTGGCGTTTAATCACTAAACAGGAATGCCTTAAGTGACATACCATAGATGATTACCACTTTCATGATACCATGGCTAAGGGAGACAACTCTGTAAGCAAATTGCAGCAACTTCATCATGCTTAGAATTCCTTAAACACAAACATTGGGATTCACATGTTGTACATATGTTGGAAATCAAACCTGATTCTTTGACGTGGCTGGCAGGTGCTTGAACCACTAGGCTACCCACCACCCTACTTAATCTCTACCTACAAGTTTCAGCATAGAAACTTTACAAGTTCTTAAACAAGTGCTCACTACACATCCAGTGTTCAAAATTAAGGGGGTTCTGGGGTCATCAAGGTTTGCTGCTATAGTATTTGACTCCTAAATCTTAAATACCTCATCTTTAACACTAGGGTTACGACAAGGACCCCTTTTCTTTCAGGATTAATTTGAACACTGGACATCAATCAGCTATGACATACAGTAATCAGTATTATCAGAAGCTACATACAACAAGAACAAATGTTGATGGCACAATCATAAACCTAAGATTAGGGATTGCCATATATTTTTTACGTTAATTTTAAAAACAAATCAATATTCACGTTGGCACTGCAAAATTACGGTGCGAGGGGTATATGGAACACAGTCTTCCCTTCATGGCATGTTAAGTAATATCTGCCTTGGTGATAACTGTTGTCATCTCCTGATCCTCCCCCCCCCCCCCCCCCCCCAACCTAATTTATCCTGTTTCAGAGAAGTTCTGAGCGAGCAAAACACCACTCATCTACATGAGATGACATCCATTCCATGTGAAGTCTTGGAAGGTGTGAAAGACATGAGACACAGTCAGTGTTAGGTTTGACCACATGTTAGATGACATGTGATAACCTAAAAATGATGATACCAATATACATGTCGTTATTGAGCCGTTTCACACCGCTTTTTACAATACTACACTTGCATCATGATATATTGGAGTTATGATCTGTTATTTAGCACTGCACTCAGCAATATTCGAACCATATGATTTAAGTCTGTAAATAATCGAGTCTGGACGAGGCAATCCAGTGAGTGACATGAGCGTAATTGGGATACAATGGGATGCATCAACCAAGTCACCAAGCCTGACCACCTGATCCTCTTACGACAAGTATGGGTTGCTCGGGACCTGTATATTTACCCATAATCCCCAAGGGCCCCATGGTATGTCATCTTATTGTGGGGGGATGTCCCCAGGTGACAGGTCATAGACTTCCACCTCCTTGGGTTGGTGCTGTCAAACCAAGGATCATCATTATCAGTATTGGGTGAATCTTGGATTCAAACCCACTAGCTCCAAATCTGGACAATGAATTGTGGCACTGGACTAGCTGTGCCCAAAAGCCAATGCATGGCATAATTCTAAGGGTGTATTTTAAGGGAACAGCTCAAGAAAAGCTAGAGGAATAAATAAAGTTCAAAGTACCAAAATGACTGACCAGGTTCATCAGTAGTTCAAACACCTATTGCAGCTATCTCCACCAACTATATCATAACATCTCTGTCAACTAGACACATACGAATCTTGAATGTCTTAAAAAGCAAAAATGAAACAGCATTTCATGCATATCCCCTTACTTACACGCCACATAAATACAAATTTCAAAATATGTGCAAATATCTGTTTGACATCATAGGAACAGTTCTGCTCAAAAGTAACTACCATTTTTCTGCAACATTATTTATATCAAGTTGTCAATGCTAATGACAGTCCATAAACACTCAACAGAAAAACATTCACATATTTTAGCACGACGCTATATATATATACTACTGTCGATCTGTGTTTAACATGTTTAACATGTCCAAGTAGTAGTTATTTTTGTACAGTACTGTAATGAGCATTACCAATAGGCATGATATGATCTTAAGACCATGATAAGAAAATGATTTTAATTCAGTAGTTGTTTGTCAAGATACATGCACAAATTTAAAAAAAATACAGGTACAATACTAAGGAGTAACAGCATGTTAATACTTCAGACTTGGTTTGCAACATGCAAGACTAACAAAGTACATAGCAAAAAAATCCCTCTTATAAGACCTTTGCTGTTAACTATCTGTTGTTTATCTCAACTAAGTTGGTGATTGAGTTGGGTTTACACCGCTTTTAGCAATATTCCAGCTTCCATATTCCATATCTGACTTTTAATTTGATAAACAAGAGACAAGATATGACAGTGAACACACAGTGGACCCACTGATACAACAGTAACAGTAAATCTACAGGATGGTTCCAGTTTCCCAATGCGACATAAGCGCCATGACTTTTGCAATTCCCATACTCAAAGAAAGACCATTGATTTCATAAAGAAGATCACTTTGTGGATGGGACCCAACAAATCAGTAATGACTTGTGCCCTACACTTTAAAACTACTAATATTCCTTTCAACACTTCGCGAAATATCAGACTTCATATTTCTTAACAAAGCTGTTGGAATGGTATCTGCATTGACATAAATTGAAAAAATAACAATAAAAAAGAGAAATACCGAAGTTTGTACGAGTTTTGAAAAATAACCATCAATTCAAAAATTATTGTAAACTTGTTTATGATTTCTTTTCAAAATAACAAACTCTACAGAAACCATTGTAACACAGATCCATCAAATCCATTATCAACAACCTGAGTTGTTTAGGAACGAGTACCAGTCATTGGCTAAAGACACCTGTCAATCACTCAAATTGACCAATCAAAACCATCATATATACTCCTACAAGTAAGGCTCCAATTTCTTTGATTGACTGGCTGAGCTTACAGTCCACAAGTAGTTCAGGTATAACAGACACAGTGGCGATGTAGATGAAGCCCCCTGCTGTGAAGGGGAGGATCCAGGCTGTAGCAACATCACCGATACCCTCGGCAAATAAGCTGCAAAGAGTCCCCAGCATGGCGCCTATTGCTGTAGAAAACTGAAGCATCATGGCCTGAAACAGAGAGAGATATATGATATATACCCTGGACCCGTCCACCACGTGTCGACATTATCTCTATTTCTCTTCGAGAAAATTTCTCTTGTTCATGAGTTAATCAAAATTCCTCTTCTAAAAGCAAGCTTTGCATAGATCTACAATCTTAATCACAGCCTTGTATGAGTGATTCCTCAATTAGAAATGGATATTTAGTTCTAACCTAAAGAACAAAATGGTATCCATTTGACTAGAAGACATTTACAAAATGACTCAGATCTATTGTGTGCTCTCTAATCTGTTGCAATCATGGCAGGTTCAGATAGCCTACATTTAGATGATGTCACCTAGATCTGTAAACAGTTTTGTGCCTGTTATTAGGCTAGATTCCACTTTTAACAAGGTATCTTGTAATGGGATGTTCTCAGATCTTTGTGAAGCAGTAGCAGGCACTAAAATCTCATCCTATTGAGATTGATAAGAGTACTACTTTGATGGCTAAAGGGAGATAACTAATCTGTCTCCCAGCCAAACTATCCAAACAAAACATCACGGATCACAATTATTTGAAGGGATATTTGTTTGTATCTAAGACTGAACACACAATTTTATAAATGTTCATGATCCCTAACATTTTTTGGTCCGTATATTCACAGCACATATGTAATTTCAATTACCTTCTGTTTTGTGCAACCAGACTGGACAAGGATGGCAAAATCTCCAATTTCATGGGGTATTTCATGCAGGAATATGGTGATGGTGGTGATAATACCGACATTCTGGCTGATTAAGAACGAAGCACCTATAGCAAGACCATCAGTGAAATTGTGGGCAAAGTCAGCGGCCAGGTTAAGGTAGCCAGCCACCTTGATGTCCCCTTGCTCGGAGTCTACAACAAAATACAGAAAACAAAAGTTAGTGCAAGTAAATGGTATGTTGTGCTGACTCCAGGCAATATTAGGAAGGCCTGTAATAATCGAGTCTGGACCAGACAATCAAGTGATTGTTATTCTGAGCATCATCTTAACAGTCAGGGTATGATTAAACACCATCAACCAAGTCACTGAGCCTGACCACCCCACCACCTGCCTTGTACAACATGCATAGGTTGCAGAGGACCTATTCTAACCCAGGTCCTAAAGCAATCTCATTAGAATCAGATCTTAGTTCTCGCTACCGCTAAACAAAGATCTGAGGACATCCCATTATGGGTCACGTCAGAACGACCTTTCATCCGACCAATCAGAGCCTCGCTTACCAGATCATGAAAGTGACAGTCGGAATGTGATTTCTAATCATACAACCTCGAAAACTTAAACACAGGGTATTCCGAACGAAAGGTACAGGCTTAACGACTGAATCCATACAATCTAGACCATATATTTGCCATTCCATGTTCTTTTGTTCACGTTTAAAATTTTTAATCGAGAATTTGTCAAAATATGTTTCGAAGCATAGTCGCCAATTTGAATTTAGTGCTGTAAAGCACGAGAAAGCTGCTTTCTGATTGGCTAATGTCGACTTCTTGTCAGTTCCTCCATTGGTCGGTCAAAATTCGCGCAAAGTCGGTCTGACGAAACCCGTAATGGGATGACCTCAGATCTTTGTTAAGCGGTAGCGAGAACTAAGATCTGATTTTAATGAGATTGCATTAGGACCTGGGTTAGAATAGGTCCTCTGCAACCTATGCATGTTGTACAAGGCAGGTGGTGGGGTGGTCAGGCTCAGTGACTCAGATCTTTGTTTAGCGATAACGAGAACTAAGATCTGATTTTAATGAGATTGGGTCCTAACGAGGACTTGACTAATGACGTTTTTAGACCACAGGGTGTGATACTGCAAATCAGTAACTAGTCATCACATGTACACTTGGATCTAGGGCTGGGACGAGTCCAAATTTACTCCCCGGGTACCCAACCCCCTATAACCCGACCCTACCCGGGTACCCACTGCAGGTCTCAAAGAGTTGGGAACACAATGTCTAATTGGGAATAGTTTAACTGTAGCCCTGGCAAAAACTGTTTAGATACATGTATGAAAAAAGAGGTTGATTTGAAACTCATGATTTGATCGTTTCATAAGAGACTATATGTCTATTATGTGGTCTCTTATGAAACGATCAAATCATGCGTATACTGAAGTTGACTGAAGCTTTATCTTTACTCAAACATATACAGGTCAAAAGGAATGTTTGCATTGTCAGAAAGAAATGGGACCATTAGTGTAACCACTGAGCTATAGTGACTTTTTGTCATTAAACAATATTTTACTAACCACGGGTCCGGGTAGTACTGTGGGTACCCAGGTCCTACTCAGGACCCACCCGACCCGAGGACCCGAGTACCCGAGTTACCCGACCCGAGTACCCGAGTTACCTGTCCCAGCCCTACTTCAAAATCAAATGGATCAAAATTGAACTGTGAATTACGGGTAGTACTGTGGGTACCCAGGTCCTACTCAGGACCCACCCGACCCGAGAACCCGAGTACCCGAGTTACCCATCCCAGCCCTACTTCAAAATCAACTGGATCAAAATTGAACTGTGAATTAGTTGGATTTAGTTCATGGTGGTCTAAGCTTTGTTTCCTACTGATAATAAATTGATTACTTTGATTATGACAGTAAACATAGGTTACTAATAAAGTTTCTCTTGGAAATAACTGTTAATGCAGAGATTCTTGTCGTAAGAGGCAACAAATGGCATTGGGTAGTCAGGCTTGCTGACTTGGTTGATACATGTCATTGTATACCAGTTGAGCAATGTTGAGTAGATCGATGCTCATGATGTCAATCACTTGACTGTTTGGCCCAGACTTGATAAATTACAGGCCACTTTCACATAGTTGGAACATTGCTGAGTGCTTATTAAACAACAAACAAATAATGCAGAGGTGAGTCTCGGGCAAGCGGAGAATGGCTCAAAGTGTTACAAATCCAAGTTTGCAGCTGTTCTTTCACATACTATCTCCAACTGTAATACAGGGAAACCCTGTTAGTCGGGACACCTGGATGATTTGATTTCTGTGTAAACTTGCTCGTATATAAAAGACCATTTCTACACTACAAGCTATGACTCGTTAATCCTGGTAACCTGAAAATCTGTTAAATTGGGAGGTTACACTGTGAACAATGGTGAACAGTTCACTGGATTAACAGGGATTCATTGTCTTCAACAGTTAACAAACATCAGGAAGAATACTGGATTTGTTCAACAGAGCTCCAGGTAATCATGGTAATCTGCATTTTTGCATCAAATACCCAAGACAAATCACCATTCCACAAATAACGTTGAAAATGCATGAAAAATTGAAAAAAAAACCCAATAGCATAACAACACTCTGAAAATACTAAGTTGGGACAATACACCAATGCATCGGTGGATCGCGATATTTTACTTCCCGATACTAGTATTGATCACAGTCGCACACTAAGTAAAAAATATCGATTCATACATTAAATGTTTACTTTAATGGCTGTTACACCAACCTCAATTAGTAATTAAATTTAGTAGTGAAAAAGTAAATATTTTAATACATTGTGCCATATTTGACACTGCCAGCTGTAAATTGTCAGTGTGCCACTGCCAGGTATTGGCCATCCTTCTTATGCAAAAGATGGCTTACGCACCACAGATAAGAGTACATACAAGTATTGTGACACTTATCGGATCATGAACAATGTATCGTGATATGTATTGGATCACACAGTTGGTGTATCGTCCGAGCCCTAGTAAATACCCAATGTAGCCTTTTCAGCTAACATGGCTAATGTACTGTATTTCTTAACAGAACTTTTTGGACTGATCGAGTGTAGGCATCACACATACATGAACTCTACTGCAGTGAATAATGCATTAGAAAGACGCAAGCTCACTTATTGTTAATCAGACATGTAAATTGCTGAACATTGAGAGTTTAGGCGACATGTTACAGACTTCGGCTAGCATTGAACAGATACAAATTAGAAAGCACCTTAACACCATTTTAAGCTGAACTAAGTGAAAAATTGTTGTAAAAATACCAATAGACTGGACCCAAAGGAGTAACAATATAATGAAAGAAAACTATCAATACCCAACGTGAATGGTAACGGGAGTCAATATTCAAAGGCTCAAAATTTTCTGGAGCCTTGATTCAAATTTGAATGTAGGCCAGTGACCTGCTGAACCAACAGACTGTAATTTCCTCAAATCTAACCTTGCATTTTTGTTTGTTGTTTAAGGCGGCACTCAGCAATATTCCAGCTATATGATGGCGGTCTGGAAATAATGGAGTCTGGTGTGATTGATATGACGAGCACTGATCCACACAATTTGGATACAACGACATGCATCAACCAAGTCAGTGAGTCTGACCACCTGATCCTGTTAGTTGTGTCATCTAGTCGCCTTTTACGGCAAGCATGGGTTGCTGAAGAGCTATTCTACCCTGGATCTTCACGGGTCTCTAACCTTGTAGCTATGTGATCATACTGATATGAATCTACTGACGTATGTTCTTTGGAAGATTTACCTTCCTTAACAGCTTCCTTCTTCTCCACTTTCTTCTCCCCCTTCTTATCTTCTTTTTTCTCTCCCTTCTTATCTTCTTTTTTCTCTCCTTTACTCTTCTTCTCTTCCGTCTTGCTCTCCCCCTCATCATCACTTGTCTTTGCCTTTTTCTTCTCCACTGGCTTGGCAGGGGTTGGGGCATGGGAGTGGCTGTGGCCGTGGCCGTCCCCCTTAATAAATCGGACAAACTTCTCAACCATGAGGAAGGCGATTATACCAGCAAGTACCCACAATCCAACCGACATGTTATGTCCACCATGTTCGTGCGAGTGTCCGTGATCATGCGAGTGACCATGGTCACCCCCATCGTGAGAATGAGGGGACACTGCATGTGGAATAAGATGAAGGAAGGCATCACCAAGGAGACCACCCGAGGCGAAACTTAACAATATTTTCAGCAGCGACTCATGTTCGGATGTGTTATCGAGAGGAATCACAAGCAATATGAAAACCGGTGATACGCTTATGAATGCTGTAGCACCAATGGCTTTGAGCCATAAGAGCCAGTCTGTTTCTTTCGCTTTTGGGGGCTTAGGTCTCGCGTCTTCCCATTTCTTGTATTCCTCTGTGTGATCTTCGTGATGTCCACCCCCGTGAGAGTGGCCGTGCCCTCCATGATCATGGGCGTGCCCGTGTCCCCCGTGGTCGTGGGCGTGTCCATGTCCCCCGTGATCATGAGCGTGTCCGTGGCCCCCATGAGCATCTTCCTGTTGTTCGTTTGCCTGCTTGCTGTATTTGAAAGAAGCCGGTTGGTCGTGGCTGTGTCCATGATCGTGAGCGTGTCCGTGGTCATGAGCGTGACCATGTCCATGTGCATTAATGATATTAGTCAAAACAAACCCAAAAATTAACACTGAAAGCATTAACAGCCGGTAACGTGATTTCACACTGGGAGCAGCCATCTTGGAACCTGACACGAGTTTGTGTACGTGGCGTTAGGTGGCGCTGCGAGTGATGTCAACAAATACACGTGGCTTTCTGTCAATGCACCAGCCAAAGAACGAGTAAATTCTCACAGGGTGGAATCGTACCGTGATATATGTTGTTGATTTTCAATCACATGTTTTATATGAATAAGCTTAACGTAATGAGCGAGGGCAAAAAATCTATCAATACTTCTTTTGATATTAGATCTATATCAAAATCGTTCACACAAGGCAAACGTTATTTGTCTGCCGTAGTCACTTAAACGAAAATCCCTGAAACAGCATTAATGAATGATTACTTTAGTGTGACCGAACCGATGATATAATTGTGACCAAGATCCTCGAAGTCAGTGGCCGGGTACATGTGTAGTTAAATGGCGATTTTACGTGCGCATCATATGTTTAACTTTCTGATAACTTTTTGGAGTACTCACAAGGCACAATATGTGTCAATTCACGATCCGTCAACCAAATGACTCGTACTCTGGAGATAAAGTCATACGAAAATGTTCCGATTGTATCAATCTTCCGTGATTTGCGTCAGACTGAGAGAAAAGGTAAAAAATCTCCGTAGCAATCATAGTGATTAGAACACACACACCCTCAAATTTGATTTTTTTTTATATAAATAAAATAAATAAATAAATAAAAGAAATAGAATAAAATATTTAATTTTTTTTTATATTAAGGCGTTTGTATAGATATGCTCTTCGATGGAGGCGAATACTATAAAATATATTAAAATCATGTTGGAATTTTCTCAACCACTCGGCCCCGATTCACAAACCTATCTTAGCTTACGACTATCGTAGGCAATGCTAAAGAAAGAAGATCATGACAGCCACAAGTCGAGTCGAGGTGCCGTTTTCGCTTGAGTCGAGATGCCGTTTTCGCCAATCGGTGCCGTTTTCGCCCGGCGACGTTTTGCTGAGGTGCCGTTTTCGCTATAACCCCACACGAAGCATGGTGGCGGATATAGGTCCTAGGTGTAATGGTTGAATATATTGAGAAACGCATACGAAACGAAGTATCGTGGTGAATACATATATATCCCTTCTATTATTTTGTACCATATCTCCATCTGTTACAATGTATATAACCGCCATTTTGTAACAAGGTAAAATTCCTCCATTCTGTTACTATATACTATATCCGCGCTCTGTTATGATGTAGTATATTCCCGCTCTGTTATGATGTAGTATATTCCCGCTCTGTTATGATGTAGTATATCCGCGCTCTGTTATGATGTAGTATATTCCCGCTCTGTTATGATGTAGTATATTCCCGCTCTGTTATGATGTAGTATATGCCCGCTCTGTTATGATGTAGTATATTCCCGCTCTGTTATGATGTAGTATATCCGCGCTCTGTTATGATGTAGTATATTCCCGCTCTGTTATGATGTAGTATATGCCCGCTCTGTTATGATGTAGTATATTCCCGCTCTGTTATGATGTAGTATATGCCCGCTCTGTTATGATGTAGTATATTCCCGCTCTGTTATGATGTAGTATATTCCCGCTCTGTTATGATGTAGTATATCCGCGCTCTGTTATGATGTAGTATATTCCCGCTCTGTTATGATGTAGTGTATGCTCTCTCTGTCAGGATGTAGTATATGCCCGCTCTGTTATGATGTAGTGTATGCTCTCTCTGTCAGGATGTAGTATATGCCCGCTCTGTTATGATGTAGTGTATGCTCTCTCTGTTATGATGTAGTATATACCCGCTCTGTTATGATGTAGTATATGCCCGCTCTATTATGATGTAGTGTATGCCCGCTCTGTTATGATGTAGTATATACCCGCTCTGTTATGATGTAGTGTATGCCCGCTCTGTTATGATGTAGTGTATGCCCGCTCTGTTATGATGTAGTATATGCCCGCTCTGTTATGATGTAGTGTATGCTCTCTCTGTCATGATGTAGAATATGCCCATTCTGTTATGATGTAGTATATGCCCGCTCTGTTATGATGTAGTATATGCCCGCTCTGTTATGATGTTGTGCATGCTCTCTCTGTCAGGATGTAGTATATGCCAGCTCTGTTATGATGTAGTGTATGCTCTCTCTGTCATGATGTAGTATATGCCCGCTCTGTTATGATGTAGTATATGCCCGCCCTGTTATGATGTAGTATTTGCTTACTCTGTTATGATGTAGTATATGCCCGCTCTGTTATGATCTATTATATGCTTACTCTGTTATGGTGTAGTATATGCCCGCTCTGTTATGATGTAGTATATGCCCGCTCTGTTATGATGTTGTGCATGCTCTCTCTGTCAGGATGTAGTATATGCCAGCTCTGTTATGATGTAGTGTATGCTCTCTCTGTCATGATGTAGTATATGCCCGCTCTGTTATGATGTAGTATATGCCCGCCCTGTTATGATGTAGTATTTGCTTACTCTGTTATGATGTAGTATATGCCCGCTCTGTTATGATCTATTATATGCTTACTCTGTTATGGTGTAGTATATGCCCGCTCTGTTATGATGTAGTATATGCCCGCTCTGTTATGATCTATTATATACTTACTCTGTTAGGATGGAGTATATTCCCGCTCTGTTATGATGTAGTATATGCCCGCTCTGTTATGATGTAGTATATTCCCGCACTGTTATGGTGTAGTATATGCCCGCTCTGTTATGATGTAGTGTATGCTCTCTCTGTCATGATGTAGTATATGCCCACTCTGTTATGATGTAGTATATGCCCGCTCTGTTATGATGTAGTATATACCCGCTCTGTTATGATGTAGTGTATGCCCGCTCTGTTATGATGTAGTATATGCCCGCTCTGTTATGATGTAGTATATGCCCGCTCTGTTATGATGTAGTATATTCCCGCTCTGTTATGGTGTAGTATATGCCCGCTCTGTTATGATGTAGTGTATGCTCTCTCTGTCATGATGTAGAATATGCCCACTCTGTTATGATGTAGTATATGCCCGCTCTGTTATGATGTAGTATATACCAGCTCTGTCAGGATGTAGTATATCCCCGCTCTGTTATGATGTAGTATATTCCCGCTCTCTAATGATGTAGTATATGCCCGCTCTGTTATGATGTAGTATATTCCCGCTTTGTTATGATGTAGTATATTCCCGTTCTGTTATGGTGTAGTATATCCCCGCTCTGTTATGATGTAGTATATGCCCGCTCTGTTATGATGTAGTGTATGCTCTCTCTGTCAGGATGTAGTATATGCCAGCTCTGTTATGATGTAGTGTATGCTCTCTCTGTCATGATGTAGTATATGCCCGCTCTGTTATGATGTAGTATATACCAGCTCTGTTATGATGTAGTATATGCCCGCTCTGTTAGGATGTAGTATATTCCCGCTCTGTTATGATGTAGTATATGCCCGCTCTGTTATGATGTAGTATATTCCCGCTCTGTTATGATGTAGTATATCCCCGCTCTGTTATGATGTAGTATATTCCCGCTCTGTTATGATGTAGTATATGCCCGCTCTGTTATGATGTAGTGTATGCCCGCTCTGTTATGATGTAGTATATTCCCGCTCTGTTATGATGTAGTGTATGCTCTCTCTGTCAGGATGTAGTATATGCCAGCTCTGGTTTGATGTAGTATATGCCCGCTCTGTTATGATGTAGTGTATGCCCGCTCTGTTATGATGTAGTATATGCCCGCTCTGTTATGATGTAGTGTATGCTCTCTCTGTTATGATGTAGTGTATGCTCTCTCTGTCATGATGTAGTATATGCCCGCTCTGTTATGATGTAGTATATGCCCGCTCTGTTATGATCTATTATATGCTTACTCTGTTATGATGTAGTATATGCCCGCTCTGTTATGATGTAGTGTATGCCCGCTCTGTTATGATGTAGTATATGCCCGCTCTGTTATGATGTAGTATATACCCGCTCTGTTATGATGAAGTATATTCCCGCTCTGTTATGATGTAGTATATGCCCGCTCTATTATGATATAGTATATACCCGCTCTGTTATGATGTAGTATATGCCCGCTCTGTTATGATGTAGTATATGCCCGCTCTGTTATGATGTAGTATATGCCCGCTCTATTATGATGTAGTATATGCCCGCTCTGCTATGGTGTAGTATATGCCCGCTCTGTTATGATGTAGTATATGCCCGCTCTGTTATGATGTAGTATATTCCCGCTCTGTTATGATGTAGTGTATGCCCGCTCAGTTATGATGTAGTATATGCCCGCTCTGTTATGATGCAGTGTATGCCCGCTCTGTTATGATGTAGTATATGCCCGCTCTGTTATGATGTAGTATATTCCCGCTCTGTTATGGTGAAGTATATGCCCGCTCTGTTATGATGTAGTTTATGCCCGCTATGTTATGATCTATTATATGCTTACTCTGTTATGGTGTAGTATATGCCCGCTCTGTTATGATGTAGTATATGCCCGCTCTGTTATGATCTATTATATACTTACTCTGTTAGGATGGAGTATATTCCCGCTCTGTTATGATGTAGTATATGCCCGCTCTGTTATGATGTAGTATATTCCCGCTCTGTTATGATGTAGTATATGCCCGCTCTGTTATGATGTAGTGTATGCTCTCTCTGTCATGATGTAGTATATGCCCACTCTGTTATGATGTAGTATATGCCCGCTCTGTTATGATGTAGTATATACCCGCTCTGTTATGATGTAGTGTATGCCCGCTCTGTTATGATGTAGTATATGCCCGCTCTGTTATGATGTAGTATATGCTTAATACTCTGTTATGATATGCCCGCTCTGCCACATTTAGACGCGGGGATGTTAATATAGAACGTGGTGTGTGTGTGTGTGTGTGTGTGTGTGTGTGTGTCAAATTTGAGATTTTACGTACGCCTCTGATGAATGCTAAGGCTGTTTCCTTGTGAGTGAATGAGTATGCTTTTAGACCGCCTGTCTAGCAGTATCACGGCGCGGGCCATCAGAAATGGTTTTGACACATTGAACCAATATAGGGCCTCCAATCCGTGTCTTCGTCGTGACGCGTGAACACTTTTTGACCACTAGACTACTCCACAGCCCCCGACTAGCTAGTAATACCAGACAGGGTAACAATAAGTACCATCTTTTAACGTCTTTTGGTATGACGCAGCTGGGGATCGAACCCCGGACCTTCCGCTCTCCGGGCGGACGCTTTACCACTAGACCACGGAGGCGGTCTTCACACTTAAGTATATAATAAACAACGTCCTTGTTGGCCAAAAAGGCAGCAGACCCAAAGCATGGCAACCTTACATATTTATATTTCTAATAAATGTTCCTTCGAAGATATAATTGTCGATACTTTAACAGGATCGATATACATATGTTAATCAAAATAAGGTAAAGAACACCTGTTTCCCATATGGCTTGACAGATTAACTATAGTAATATGAAAGAATATGTTGTTCTTAACTTCTTTTGAGTGGAATAGTTATATTGTAGGTTGTTACATGCTAATAAGGGAATATGTACTGTATGAGGTTACTCTTCTCAACATTTGAACGAAATTGTACAGAACCACATTTCTTTTATAGTTAATTAGGAATCCTTTTTACCTGCCTGTCCTTGTCATGTTTCATACGATTCTTAGATTCTCAACTGGCGTACCGTCTATGAGAATCCCTTTAAAGCAATGTCCCAGTGATAGTGAACGCAGAATGAAAGGATCGGCCAAGGGTACATATCTGTGTGCTATCGATAGAGCAGGACATGCTTGCCCTTTACGCGAACATCTGGTGTCATCTCTCATTTCCATGTAATATTCATCATCCTTTTGACTTGCGCCCAATGGAGTCGGATTCGGCAGGTGTAATTGGCATTTTGAATTTACGACCGTGTGCAGAGGTTTTACCCTCGGAGGTTTTACTCCGGAACTACTTTGCTGTTTTAGAAATCGGTTCTGTATGATAGCAATCTAACAGTGCAAATAATGCAGGGCGCTTGTACTCCTGCCACCTGTCACCATTGGTTTGGCTTTAGATAAGCACATCTAAATAATAACTAATAGAATCAAAACAATAAACTTAACGTTTTGACATCATTGATTTATTTCATGAAATATGGCATATGGTATATATTATACATATACTGTGATCGTTCATAACTAATTTCATGTTCCTGTTTGTCTCGAGGGGGTTTGGGGTCCCGTGATGCCTGCTGGGCCCCATATCTTCCTGCTTCCGCTCCCTCATCTCCCTCCCATATTTAAACTGAGGAGCAAATGGTACTATACCCCTCGGTTCATTTTATGATATATATGAGTAAGTGTGTCATTTATGTTTGTTTTGTTTGTTTGTTGTTTAACGCCGCACTCAGCAATATTCCAGCTGTATGACGGCGGTCTGTAACTAATCGAGTCTGGACCAGACAATCCAGTGATTGACATCATGAGCAGCGATCCACGCAATTGGAAAACGATAACATGCATCAATCAAGTCAGCGAGCCTGACCACCGGATCCCGTTAGTCTCCTCTTACGACAAGCATAGTCGCCTTTTACGACAAGCATGGTTTGCTTAAGACCTTTTCTACCCCGGGTTTTCACGGGACGTATCATTAGTGAAAAGTGAAATGTACTGGTGTTACATTTAAAGAATTCTTAAATCTTATAAAATATATGAAAAACAATCGCAAAATACACAACAGCTGATGGGTATCTAAGACATATTTTCCATAAAATCACAATTAATATTTTTCGGCACTAATTTACAACTTTTCAAACATTGTAGGGGTCATGCTGTTGCAAATTCATTTCTTACCCCAGTCTCCGTTGAACCCAAATTACCCAGCCAGAAATTATTATTCACACACTGTTGCAGAGAAGAGTGACGGTTAAACTCAAATTAACAACACTTCTTTCAGTTTTCAATTACATAAAACATCAAACTCGATACACTTTCTTTTGCCCCTCAAATTACTATAAAGGACATATGAATATACAAAACATGCAATAGAAGGAACCAGAAAACATGGATATGCAATATTACTTTGTGACTATGAAATACTACAGTAAGAAATAATGTATATAAAAAGTTGAAAATATGAGCCTTCTTTAGTTTCCCTTACTCCCAGTGTATTCCTTAGGCACTTGGCTCGACTCGACTAATAGAAACTCAGAAGCTCAGAAGCTCAGGAATCCATATTGGAAATAATTTCGTGAACCTCATGACACAACACCAACTGGCGGCGCAGAAACTGTTCAAATTACTTCCGTTTGCCCTTGTCTTCAAGTCAACCAACCTCTATGTCTCCAGGGCACGCATTTCGGTAAAGCGTTACTAACCCCTGGATCCTTTTTCGTCGTTCTCGGGATCTCAAATTACCCGCCTTTGATTTTCATTAACATTTTACTGACCAATCAAACGTCGAGATAAGGAAAAAGGAAATGGGTAAGGGAGGTGGACATGAAGACATCCTTTGTATCAAAAATCTTTTTCTGAGGGCTTTCGTTTTTCAATGTTAGATTTCTGGCGAACTCTATCGTAATCTATAGGACTGGCCGACAAGTTGTTTACATCGCGAACTCAACATTGAGGCTGGTATGGAACTTACATTCTGATTGGTCCGTTAGACTGTGTAGCATAGCAATTCAAACTGGCTAAAGAAATCAAGTTCTGTTTATTTTGAGATCACGAGAATGGACCCAGTGGGTGAACGTTTACCAACATGTTAGCCCTTAAGATATAGAGGATTTTCATATCAATTGCAATGTGTATACCTCATTTCTGCTAAGCATAGAATATGGCGATACAGTGCTTCTATGTGCATGACACTGACGATTTGAAAGCACTTTTGAGAGTTGACGGTTTCCTGTGTTTCTCCAGGTAGTGAGCACGGTACGATTGGTCAGCCGGACCCCATGTTGCATCTGGTACCAGAGACATCTTGACTCTCTGAAATACATCAAGTACATCATGCTGACAAAACAGTTTGGTTTCTGCTATCTTACTAACTTGAAACAAATGAACACTTATGAAAAACCCGCTAATGTCGATGGTTATCTGAAGTTTGTTCGTACATTAAGTCAGATTAGTCACTGCAAACTATTGTTTAACTGACTCAAGTAAATATAATGCCACATTTAACCATTATGGTTTTGAATTCTATGCAGAAGAAATTGAAGTTCAGATGGTGCTCGATGGAAGTGGTTTATGTTTGATATATAAAGTATCTATCGGGTTTGCTCTTTATTTACATTTTTTGTACTTACAGAGATAACACACGGGTCGTATCTTTGTTCGTTATGTATGAAAATATCTTTTCCATAAAGTTAGTGTGTCATTTATGTTTATTTTGTTTGTTGTTTAACGCCCCACACAGAATATTCCAGCTATATGACGCCGGTTTGTAAATAATCGACCAGACAATCCAGTGATTTACATCATAAGCATCGATCAACGCAGTTGGGATACCATGACATGCATCAACCAAAGCAGCGAGTCTGACCACCTGATCCCGTTAGTCGCCTTTTACGACAAGTAGGGTTGATGAAGACCAATTCTAACCTGGATCTTTGCGGATGTTCTTGTACTTACCTCCCAAAGGCTTCCCTTCTGTTTGTAAATAGCGACCACAATCATAACAACGACAGGTATCAATGGAATCGCTGCGATGATCCAGCCAATAACGTTCGTGTGATAGGGGTACACATATTTGCCATATGTTGGCGGTTCGTATTGGGTGAAGGTGAAGATGAGAGTTGTCTGAAAAAAGGCAGTACTTTATAGGTATTTATACCGTATAAAATATGAATTCAGCAGCAATGGTCAGCACATCTCTTGATATGTATCGTTTGTGCTTCGACGTAATTGTTTAAAATTCATTGATATCATATATGAAAATATTTTTGTTAAAACAATACCACTTTAACTCTCATCAAAATACAACAATTACATATACTTGCATAAAACATAGCTAGCATAAAGCATGTGCGTGGCAAATAGCCTCTCGTTTGGGAATATATATATTTTTTATATTTTCATATGGTAAGAAAAGCAAAATTTGCAACAGCACTGTTGATTATTGTGTGTGAGTGAGGTTGGTTGAAGGCCGCATTGATTAATGTGAATGAAAATAAACACGATTTAATCTTGTCAGTAATGTAATTATCTAACCAGAAGCATGGCTGGGGTGATATAACACCACGTAATCTTGAAGAACAGAGGAGCTGGTCTGCCAATCATCAGCTCGATGTCGTCACTGAAACGGTCAATACCTGGAACGAATAAACATGTGTAAATGTCTAAAAACTCATGTGTAAATGTTCATAAACTCATGTGTAAATGTTTATAAACACATGTGTAAATGTCTATAAACTCATGTGTAAATGTCTATAAACACATGTGTAAATGTCTATAAACACATGTGTAAATGTTTATAAACACATGAGTAAATGTCTATAGGCTCATGTGTAAATGTTTATAAACACATGTGTAAATGTCTATAAGCTCATGTGTAAATGTCTATAAACAGATTGTGCCGATGTACAATTGCAAATAATTTGAACACGATAGAATTACACACTACGAACAAACACAATAATTATAATAGTGATAATAATAACAATCGTCATAACAAAATCGACTCGGTTATAGAACAAGGGTAGAGAACAAGGATGTCTCGAGGTCCCATCACTTCATACCGTAGATCCAGGCCACTATGACACACTCCAGTAAACCCGAGAAGATGAGGAAAATGGCGACAATGTACCAGTCCAGCAACTGGAACACGTACACTCCACCCTGAAAAAAACATTGGGAAAACGTGTTATGATTTAAACAGTATTTTATTTCCATTAATGTTCAGATTTTACATTACATGACGTTACAAAATGGAAAAAGGATTAGCAAAAAGGCCAAAAAGGCCTATATTAATGCTTCTCCAAATATTGTACATCATACATGTAGATTGTAATGAAATCTATAGAGCAGACATTAATGAGTAACACAAAATGAAATAAAATGGAAAGCAAGATACCAAATGCATTTTATATTCTTAAACGTGTTATGTGGTAACTTCTTCATAGAAACGTCCATTAGCAGTTTTGCTTGACCTACATGCCATGAATTCACAAGGTAAATATCTTTGGCATATTTAGCTAGATCTCTCAGACTATATAAACACTGACACTGCAAGACTCCCAAATGTAAAACTATTGGCTTCTTATTCCTCAAATAGGACCAGAGCGATAGAACAAGGACCAAGTCGTTAACACTTAGGTGAAAGATTTCTTAGACATTTGTAAAACGTTTGGTTTATATTTACTAAATGGCGGATTTTTTTATGAAGGGAATTATACCTTTGTTGGAGCAACACGAGTAAGCTCAGAACGTATTTGTGTGTCAGCATCTATTTACAAGTATGTAAAGGACTTTAAAGTTATAAGTCTCACTGAGTCAGACCATTTTCCCTTATTTGCCTCTTTCTCATCATTGTTTAATGTAGCAGACACCCTAGAACAGGATTACAGCCTGGGCGAGGTCAGCTGTAGTTTGTTTGTTTGTTTGTTGTTTAACGCCGCACTCTGCAATATTCCTGCTATATGACGGCGGTCTGTAAAATAATCGAGTCTGGACCAGACAATCCAGTGATTGACATCATGAGCATCGATCCAGGCAATTGGGATCGATGACATGTATCAACTAAGTCAGCGAGCCTGACCACCCGATCCCGTTAGTCGCCTTTTACGACAAGCATAGTCACCTTCTACGGCAAGTATGGGTTGCTGAAGACAAATTCTACCCCGGAATCTTCACGGGTCAGGACAGCTGTAGATATATATGGAACACAGATAAGTGTGAAGACTATCTGAATAATTTTTAAGGTGAATTAGTGCACGAAATGTTAAAATGACTTCATTAACTGTGTGGAAATTGATATTGATAAAGCCGCAGAGAGGTTACAGCATTTAATACAATACTGTGGAAAGAATATGAAAGTAAAGACGTCCAAATATATAGGCTTTAAGAAACAATCAGAATGGCATGATGAAGAGTGTCAAAGAAAAGCATAAGCTCTTGAACACATTCAGAAAGGTGTCTTCTCCGGCAAACTACAACTTATACAAGAACACTTGAAACAAATATAAATCTTTATGAAAAGAAAAAAAGAGACTTATTTTAAGCTGAGCATTACAAAAGCATTAGTTAATGCTGCGAATGATAGTAACTGTACAACATTTTGGAGACTTGTTAAACGGTATCACCTGACTCTCGCAGGACTCTAGTATCGCACCTGTAACGTGGGGAGATTATTTTAAGGAATTGCTTAATCCAGTGCCAATAGGGGATAAGGATTTCTCAACTGAAGTGAGTGAGTTTCTTGAATATCCTCGTGATAGCTTATGCCCAGACTGTCAAAAACAAGATGATATTTTATCGTGTGATTTTATCGAACAAGATGCAGTGCTGTCCAGTGTATATCACTTCTCAATATAATTGGTAAAATGTTTTCTTATGTTTGCAATAAAAGACTAGAATGTTTCTTAGATTAAAAAGGCATAATTGGTTAATATCAACTGACTTTCGAAAGACATTTGATATGATTAATAGGTGTAAGTTAATGTATATTTTATTGCAAAATGGCATTCGCGGCCAGTGGTTTGTACTATATAGAGTATGTATAATGATATTAAATCAACTGTATCATACGTTTATGGTAAGAAAATGACTGAGTATTTTGATAGTTCATGTGGGGTAAGACAAGGTTGTACTCTTAGTCCCGTCTGCTTTCTTCGTTTATCAACGAATTAGTTATATGTTTGGAAAGTAAATTCCATGATGGTGTCTTTATCTCGGAGGAAATGTTGTTGTTGCTTGCCGACGATTTAATACTTGTTGCAGACAGTGTATTAAAATTACAAAAACGTCTTGATGAATTATATCTATACTATTATAAATGGGGTATGGATAATATCGAGTACAACTATTGCGTTTAAAATGGGAGGCCCCTTGTCAAAAAATGAGAAATGGTAATATAATGGTGAGCGTAGGAAACAAACTGGGCATCGCATATCAGACTTTTGCTAGTCATTATGGTTTGGGGGATGTATGGGTTGCACAAAGCTTTGGCAACACAGAATTATTTGTACATGTGTTCAGCAAAAGAAATAAATATTGTTCGTTTCAAGATTGGCATATATCTCGAGGCAGCAAGACCATTTCATTCCACTGCAAAATCTCATATCGTTTGCGAAAAATCTGAGTCAAATATTAAGCACTTTGTATATATATAAGGCTAATACCAAAATTTAGATGCGAACAAAATACTCTTGGTATTCAACTTGTTAGTAGGGATGTTGCTAATATTGAGGATGAGGCCGTCTTATGCAAACACTGTCATGTAATTGAGGATGAACGTAATGTTATATAGAATTGTCCTCTTTATACAAGTCGAAGGGAAATGTTTATCCCAAAGACAGTTTATCATCATTATTTTTGTTTTGAAAATTTCTGACAATCATCCAACAATAATACAATGATAAATTTTGCAACATTTCTAATGTACGTGTACGAAAGTATCAATTAGGTAACTCTTAGATAAAAATATATATGATGTAAATGTATCTTGTACAATGGGTCAATTGGCCTTCATACAAATAAATCTGTCTGTCTGTCTGTCTGTCTGTGTGTTATTCCTCAAATATGATATTTCTACAGCAACAACGTTGACATGTTTGTATCTCTGATATAGATATGTTGTCTGAGGATATGTTACAAAAATGTGTGCTAATATGTTGAACAAATGTCTGACAATATGTTAAACGAATATCTGATGATATGTTGAAGAAAGTCTGATGATATTTTGAACAGATGTCTGATGATATGTTGAACATATGTCTGATTATATGTTAAACAAGTTTCTGATGATATATTGAACAAATGTCTGATGATAAGTTGTACAGATGTCTGATGATATGTTGTACAAATGTCTGATGATAAGTTGTACAAATGTCTGATGATAAGTTGTACAAATGTCTGATGATAAGTTGTACCAATGTCTGATGATATGTTGTACAAATGTCTGATGATAAGTTGTACAAATGTCTGATGATAAGTTGTACAAATGTCTGATGATATATTGAACAAATGTCTGATGATAAGTTGTACAAATGTCTGATGATGAGTTGTACAAATGTCTGATGATATGTTGTACAAATGTCTGATGATAAGTTGTACAGATGTCTGATGATATGTTGTACAAATGTCTGATGATATGTTGTACAAATGACTGATGGTAAGTTGTACAAATGTCTGATGATAAGTTGTACAAATGTCTGATGATATGTTGTACAAATGTCTGATGGTAAGTTGTACAAATGTCTGATGATAAGTTGTACAAATGTCTGATGATGTGTTGAATAATGCCTAAACATACCTCAGTGGTCATCACAAGTCCAAGGAGGAATGACACAATGCAGTAGACGCCATTCAATAGTACTCTCCATCTGATCAGTTTGGGATATTCATCTAAGATGGCAGTTACGACTGTCTCAACCATCGAGAACTGAAAAAATGGTTTCAAAAGAATTTCAGAGAAAGGGAACATGAGACATATGTAATAAGCGCCCCGCTCTAATAAGTGCCCACGGCGATATTTGCTAATACATTGGCTAGTGAACAATCCTATCTTCCGATTGATCAATGTTCACAAGACTTATGTATTCGCGCATAATACGCACTCGTGGGCTATATGAACCCTTAATTATGGGCAATTAAATTCTGGAAAAATATATCTGTCGAATATATATAAACATTTCAGGCTGTCCGCATTAACCACGAAATTTATCTTTCAGCTGTTTGTTTTTCTCACCAAAATAATATTCTAATAAGAGCCCACTATTTCTAATTTTGAGAGCGCCCCGGGCGCTTATTACGTCGAATACGGTACTTGCCATACATTGGTTTACATGGACATAAACTCCCGCACCATGTCATCATACAGCTTATAATGCCCCCTGTGGAACTTCATTTTAGGAAAGGTTATTATAAAAATGCGGGGAAATATAATTAGATTATTAAAGAAGATGTAGAAATACATTTAAAAAAACACACAATAATGTCGGACATTTCATAAAGGTTGTCAACCAAAATTAGACGAGCTTTATGTGCATAACGTACGACTCAAAGATAGGGCGCGTCTTGTTTCCCCCATACTAATGCCCCTTTCAGACGGGCCCTGAACATGATGATTTAAGATAAGTCAGTCATTAAATGAACACTAATACACGTTGTCGTGACGATTCCATGCGCCCTTTGGCAAATGCTGAGGTAAGACAGAACGATTGTTGATGTAAATTTTAAACCTCAACGCCAGAGAATAGTCTCAATTGTCTTCCAAAACAGTACACTGGGCGTAAAAGGCACAACAGTGGTGAAAATGAAGCCAATGGATCAGCTTTTCGCCAACAGGGTAAGCATACCTTTCTCTACCTCTAGCACTCGCCTCTCACAAAATTTGCACAAAAAGGAAGAGTGAGGAACGCGGGCAATAACACAGACATAATCGTTGACGTAATATGAAATGACGTGACAGAATGACACTGCGCGCATCTCAAATGTACGAAACAATATACTTTCTTATCAACGGTTCACCTTAAAGTGCAGAATGTTTAGAATTATTGATTGTACAAAAGTATGCTGTTTTTTTATGATACACACATCTTTTCGTTAATTTCTATTTCCACTGGAGGATAATATCCATATACATAGTTCACGATGATGCTCCTACCAGCGAGTCCAGTGACAGGAGGATAAGCATGATGAAGAACAAGACACTCCAGAGTTGCGGAAGCGGAAGTTGGGAAAGGGCTTCTGGGTAAATAACAAAGCCCAATCCAGGTCCTATAACAGAATCAAAAGTGAATTTCATCATATTTAGTCTGTGAATTATAAAACAACACATTTCTTAAAAAACAACAACACGGTAGTGAATTAATATGTGCCTTGTGTGCCATTATGTAGATAGTATCCAGCTTCCATGAATGAAATACTAATGATACATGATTACTTACACAACGTCACCCAGTTGTAATTAAATAGAAGACGTTAGTCCTGTCTATCTCAAAATGTGACACACGCATCATGATGCTTAAATGGTGGAATCATCTCATCTCATTCTCATAAGATTTATTCATTCATATAATGAAAATAAATTGCCAATGCAGAAGAATAGCCAGTCTAGATGATCCGCCAAAACAGATTAAGATTTGGCGTAAAGGTAAAAAAAAGCTGTCAAAGTTATATGAATGGATAATTGAAAATCAGTGATAATACCAGGTGTTCGCAAAAAAAGGTGAACATGTCCTGCCCTACCGGTAGCACCTGCTATTCAAGGCCGAAAACTATTAAGATCCCTTTGTTCAAAAGTTAAGTGATAATAAAACATTATTCTTTCGTTACTACAATTCAGTAGTAGATAATAATAAACTGCCGGGAAAATAAAGAATACACTAATACTGGATTGTGACAAAAAATGAAAGAAACAAAAATGGTTGTTCGATGGTGATGCATTTGATACGGGTATCAGGATTATATTTTGAAGCTAATATTTGCAATGTCGGCGACTGTATTCATACATTTTGATAATGTCTGTTTTGGTGTAATCCATTTTTCAAGTGAATACTTTCTTTTGCTTATGGCAGTTTATGTCACAAGTGTTTGTGTATCATGCTCTTTATCTTTCAACTTCTCATCCTGGTTTATTTGTGTTTCATATCAGGCATATTGTAATCAATGTCAGCTTTCTTGATAAAGTTTAACCTCTCATTTTGTCTGCTGTATGACGCACGTAATCCCTATTTTTATCAAATATATTTCCAAATTTCTCATTTTATTCCTAGGAATGCCATGAAACTTTATACAGCGAAGCCCCGTAGAAGTAAATAAATGTTCCCTGCAAAATCCAGATAAACAAATCATGAGTTAGAGTAGTATTATAAGCACATATTTATTGCTCCAACAGTGCGAGAAGTGCGGAATGAAAGAAGTCCGGATTGCGGATTGACAAAGTGAGTGAGTTGGGTTTAACGCCGCTTTTAACAGTATTCCAGTTATATCGTGGCTTGTCGGCTTAATGTGGGAGGAAAGCCCGAAGTGATGCAGGTCTCAGACGTTTACCACTTCGGTGAAACCCACCAGCACGGGTATGGTGCTGACAAACCTAGAAACATAATCGGGGCGAACCGGGATTCGAACCCACAATCATAGGTTTCTGGCGTGCCAAAGGGACGCAACTCTGCACAGCGAATCGCGGCGCCTTAGACGACTGGGCCACCCATGCCCCCCCGGATTGACAAAGTTTGCTAACACCTGCCATCATCACTATTTGACCAGGTGTTCGCGAGTAGGACATACGTATCGTGTAGTCGGAATCGTACATACGACTCTGCCTTTAGCAGAGATTTCTGATAATTTTGGAAATGGTTATGTCGCTTTTATATATGTAGTTACCTGACGACACAACATCCTCTATTGGCACATTTGCTTCTTTGGCCATGAATCCCAGGATCGAGAAGACGACGAGGCCAGCAAACAGGCTTGTCCCTTCACACACAAACGTGCAAAAAACCGCATTCCTAAATTTAGAAAAATGGGAAATGATATGTGAACATGCAACGTGTCAGACTTGTATCGCTGAGTAATCCTGCCATTTCACACGATGAAAGGACGCTGTATCTCATTATGAGTTTCACCAGTTGACAGTGGGAGTTCTTGATATTCTTTAAACACAAAATGTGTATTAGTATATGCACTGACGTAAAGAGACAGAAAAACAATTACTGATAACTATTCTGATTACTCATCGACTAAAACGGCATTTTACTCAGCATCTACACTTCTGATCCATCAAAGTCATCAACAGTAGTTAAGTTTATATAATGGCAGTATAACACATTCGTGTTGCATTTTACCATGACTGGTCGTTTATCCATCATTAACGCAATGTGAACATCAGGTTATGTGGTACATGTCCATGACAATATTTACTTTGTTTTGCATTACGACTGTCATGGTAGAATGTTCATGCAACTATTATTGTTATTATTATAATATAATATATTAACTGACATTTGACTACTTGTCACAACAGACAGTGAATTTATGTAAAACGTAACAATATAGGTCAATTACGTGCAGACTGACATGAAACAACGGCGAATACACTCATATATTTTCAAACTTAACTCTCTAAATAAAAATATATTTCAATAGTTGATGATAAGCGAAATGTTTTCAGGTTTCAAGTATTTGCACTGGTTAGTATTTGACGTTTAATCTGTGATACCTTGCACCTTACATTTTATTTTCCATTTTTTCAAAACATCAGTAGTTGTTACTTGTCATGAACAATGTTAATGAACTCACTCACTCACTCACACTTTACTAAATGTCTCTTACGACCTTATGATATTACAAAAAGGAACACGATCGTATGATAATACGACTTGAAACTATCTACTTAACATAATCATTCGTCTTTGTTTGTATCAACGTAGTATGCCAATGTTACACCTGACGTAACCTCCCGGGGAACGGTACTAATCCTCAGTATGATGCTAAACTGTTCGACGTCAGTGGCATGAATCATACTTGCTAGAATTGCAGGGTTTCAGATCGGTTCATTTTCTAGCACATTGACTAATTGCAATGCAAAATGTTTTTTAAATAAAATTTGAAAATGATATAAAACTTATCTTTTATAGTTAATAAAATCATGTCCTGATGTCATTTCTCTCCAGCAAAATCACTGGATTGCCAAGTGGTCGGATCTTAGCACCTCTTTAATACCATTCCGCCGGGGATAACTGTTATACCTCATCTTAACACCCAGTACGTGACTGTGGTATCCTCTATATCTCCAGGGCAAAATCTACTCTAACCCCTGGATTCATTCCTGTGGTTCTCGCGATCTCAAATTACAGACCAATCAAACGTCGAGATAAGGAAAACGAAAATGGGTAATGGAAGATTTAATTGACAAAAATACTTCCTTTCCACCGAAAAGAATTTTGAGGGATTTCTTTTGCGTATCCGTCAGTTTTCCATGATGAATTTCTCGCAAACTCCATCATGATCAATGGCACAGACCGTCATGTTGTTGATATCGCCAACCCAAGACTAAGGCTAATTTGTAACTCGCATTCTGATTGGTCTGTGAGACTGAGTAGCGTAGCAAATCCTATTGGCTAATTTAAATCAAGGACAGGTAACCTGAGATCGCCAGAACCAGGGGAATGGATCCAGATCTTGATGATCCACCGGAACAGTCCATTTATATAGAGTAACACCTATGCATTATAACCCTATATAAAGTAACACCTATGTAAATAACGCCTATGCATTATAACACCTATGTTAATAACGCCTATATAATGGAACAGCAAAGCAAAATAACAGTTTTGCAATATAACACCTTTGCAAAAATAACTCGTATGCAAAATAACACCTAAGTAAAATAATACCTATTTAACATAACGCCTAGATAAAATAACTCCTATGTAATATAACACGCATGTCAGAAAACGATTGAGGGACACACATGTTTAGTTTGAGTGCACACAAAGTGAGCTTTACGAATGCCATTAGAGAATATATGATAAAAAGTGATGATAATCTCGTGATTGAGACAGCCATAGCTTTGCACTTTAGAATGCTCTCACAGTACCTCCTTGACTTAAGCAGGTATGGCAGACCACATCCACTCTCCTTACCAGGACACGTCACCTTTTCTTATCAAAAAATATCTATGAATCAGCATGGATAATGGAAACATGCATTAAAGGTACTAATAAATCTCATCGGACTACAAACATGAACACATCACTGCAGAGGACAATTTACCATCCTGCAAAAACTCGAAAGGTCCAGCAAGAATAGCAGCATATTAGCTGTTAGGTCGTCAACTAAACACCATATTATCGTATGAGTACATACAAGCCCACTAAAGAAATTACACTAATCGATATCTATATCTAATCTATGAATCTCCACACTAAACGGACAAAAGATACAGAGTCAACGAGCAGCTAACATACCTTGTTGGACAATGTGCCAAAAAGACAAATATCGCAAAACATATATTTTGCATATTTTGAAGTATTTTATATGCGAGTATATTGTGGGGTCATTGTTCAGCCACCATTACGTTCTTGACAAAAATACAAGTGGAAGGCATGTATTTTAGATCGTTCCAGGATTGATATACACTTTTGTGTGATGGACAATGTATACCAATCGTGACGTACTGACGATGGTTTTGTTATTGATTTCATTTTGTATCATATTTAACTATAGAAATGCCAATGCAATTATAAACATGAGCATTAATTAATCACCCCCCGATTTTTCGGATATATGCTTCATTAAAACATGTGATTTATAGTTGGAATCACGACAAAAAAATGTACTTTGACGGAACGCCTGGCACATTACACAAATAATGAGCCTGACACCCTCAATCGGTATCAATTGATTTGCGTTATGCGAGAAAACTAAAAGCGTTCTATTTAATAAAGCTGAAATGTATGAGAACCCAGCCTACACTACGAATCGGACTGTCACATTATGCAGGGAAAACGATAATTGTCAATCTAGAAATCACCACTGACTGAGTCTGGAGTATCCACTCCTCTCAAGGATGGCATTCGCAAGGCATCTCCTCGTGATGCTGATCAGGTTTTCAACAATGGGGTCCTCTGCCATTCCTGGTGCAGTACCTGGGTCACTTCACTCAGATTTTGAACTGGGGGGGTCTCTGGCTCCCTGGCCAAGGTAATCCAAAAGGTGTTCAGATCAGGGTTTGTTATTATTTTTCGGAACTGGATTCTGAATCAGGCAGTGCTGAATTAATGCTCGTGTGTATAATTTCTCAGTTGAGACATGACCTTGTGTCCGCAAGTCGGATTGATACATGTTCACTAATAAGACGGATTATTACCTGAGACAGTTGGTATTGAACTTGGTGTAGCTGGCCATGGTGATGATACAGCCCCAAGCCGGGCCCAGGGAGTAGAATACCTGGAGACAGGCTTCTAACCACACCTGAAATATATACAGGGACAATTATGTATATGGTAAAGAAATCATTGTCATTACGAATGGTAAAAGAGGCATAAAAAGATAAAACTGACAAATACAATCAATGTATCAGGACGAACTATGTGAAATTGCAGAAACATTTCGAATGATAAAAGAGATGTAAAGAGATTAAAGTGAATATTGACATATATGTATTTGGAAAGACTCCCCAGAATCCTTGATCAAGTCGTTGGCACTTTCAAGTTGTCATGTTACAGACTAGAGGTAAATTCAAGACATTCCTACTAAATATATTCCCAGTGAGTAAACAAAAGACGTCAGCACCAGAAAACAACCAGTCTCAGTTATTTGCAGAAAAAGATTCCATTGGAGGCAAAAAGCAAAACAGTGGTGAAAATGTAATGAATGGAACACTGAAAACATGTTTTATGTTTAAGTTATTATCGATAACAAACAAAGCATTGGCACCTTCATAGCCTAACGGCTGGCTGTTCACCTGGAAACATCACTATTTGACAATGATTCAATAACACATGCTCCTGATATAGTCGGAGTTGTACAATGGACTCTGCTTTTAGCAGATGTTTCTTCTGATTATGGAAATGGTTTTGTCGCTTTTATTTAATCTCAGGCAATGGGTTATCCACGGTATCATTTCTTAAGCTTTACGCGACACAACTACATCGCATTGTGGATGTGTTCACGGTGCTGGATGAATTTAGTGTATGCAAAGTATTGACGATGAGTCAGTCGATATAAGATAGTTTACCTGTATCTCCAGGAGTTTACTGAAGTTTGGAGTGATGTAAAACAGAGCGCCTTCTGTTCCTCCAGGTAGAGTCAGGCCACGAATCAGCAGGACAATCAGGATGACGTAGGGTACGGTAGCTGTCACGTACACAGCCTGAACAACAAGTTAATACGTTTTAATATTATTGTTGTCTATAAGTGAAGCACTGTTGAGTCCAGTCCTGTCGTCTTTGTCAGTCATATGTGGTACGGTATGATTCGATTCATTAGTTCAACTATAATATCCAATTTTTCGCAAACATTGATATCTCAAGTTGAATTTTCTCTCCGCCAAAATTGAAATGAAGTTTTATACCGTTATGGTAGTTACTTTAAGCGTCCGTTAGGAAACATTTTCACAACAGATCATACACAGATGTATAGCTTACCTTCCCTACAGATCTCACACCTCTTACGACACATACAAAGATGATAACCCAAGACGCAAGAAGACACAACGCCAGCTCCCATTTGATTGGTCCAAGGTAGTTTATGCCAGACGATATACCAAGAGCTTTGTATCTACAAACATAAACTCCTTTCATACGTTGTCCAATTAAGAAAAATTAGAAGCTTACGATCTAAATCACTAAAATGGTCAAGCATTTTCTATACATTAACACAATTTCTACAAATCAAGTACTATTTGTTCATCAAGAATTATAAGAATAGCTGTGTTTATAAAGACTAGCAGATATTTGAAATGTCTCCATGTTCAAAGAGATTTGTTTTGCATTATTATCATTTTGTATACTAACGACTGTGTAAGCTCACACCAAAACTGTTTCAGAGTAAAGTTCGACGATGATGCAGCTATAAGCAGTCTAAAGTTTGACAACGAGGAAACCTATAAACAAGAGTACTTATATTTATCAAGTGGTTTGAGGACAATTCTCTACAGGTTCGCTATAAGCAGTCTATAGTTTGACGGGGAAACCTAGAGTAAAGTTCGCGGATGATGCAGCTATAAGCAGCCTATTGTTTGACAACGAGGAAACCTATAAACAAGAGTACTTATATTTATCAAGTTGTGTGGGGATAATTCTCTACAGGTTCGCGATAAGCAGTCTATAGTTTGACGGGGAAACCTAGAGTAAAGTTCGTCGATGATGCAGCTATAAGCAGTCTATTGTTTGACGAGGAAACCTATAAACAAGAGTACTTATATTTATCAAGTTGTGTGGGGATAATTCTCTACAGGTTCGCGATAAGCAGTCTATAGTTTGACGGGGAAACCTAGAGTAAAGTTCGTCGATGATGCAGCTATAAGCAGTCTGTTGTTTGACGAGGAAACCTATAAACAAGAGTACTTATATTTATCAAGTTGTGTGGGGATAATTCTCTACAGGTTCGCGATAAGCAGTCTATAGTTTGACGGGGAAACCTAGAGTAAAGTTCGTCGATGATGCAGCTATAAGCAGTCTATTGTTTGACGAGGAAACCTATAAACAAGAGTACTTATATTTATCAAGTGGTTTGAGGACAATTCTCTACAGGTTCGCGATAAGCAGTCTATAGTTTGACGGGGAAACCTAGAGTAAAGTTCGTCGATGATGCAGCTATAAGCAGTCTATTGTTTGACGAGGAAACCTATAAACAAGAGTACTTATATTTATCAAGTTGTGTGGGGATAATTCTCTACAGGTTCGCGATAAGCAGTCTATAGTTTGACGGGGAAACCTAGAGTAAAGTTCGCGGATGATGCAGCTATAAGCAGTCTATTGTTTGACAACGAGGAAACCTATAAACAAGAGTACTTATATTTATCAAGTTGTGTGGGGATAATTCTCTACAGGTTCGCGATAAGCAGTCTATAGTTTGACGGGGAAACCTAGAGTAAAGTTCGTCGATGATGCAGCTATAAGCAGTCTATTGTTTGACAACGAGGAAACCTATAAACAAGAGTACTTACATTTATCATGTGGTGTGGGGATAATTCTCTACAGGTTCGCGATAAGCAGTCTATAGTTTGACGGGGAAACCTAGAGTAAAGTTCGTCGATGATGCAGCTATAAGCAGTCTATAGTTTGACGGGGAAACCTAGAGTAAAGTTAACCGATGATGCAGCTATCAGCAGTCTATAGTTTGACGGGGAAACCTAGAGTAAAGTTAACCGATGATGCAGCTATAAGCAGTCTATAGTTTGACGGGGAAACCTATACAAGAGTACTTATATTTATCAAGTGGTGTGATCACAATTCTCTACAGGTTCGCTATAAGTAGTCTATAGTTTGACGGGGAAACCTATAAACAAGAGTACTTATATTTATCAAGTGGTGTGATCACAATTCTCTACAGGTTCGCTATAAGTAGTCTATAGTTTGACGGGGAAACCTATAAACAAGAGTACTTATATTTATCAAGTGGTGTGGGGATAATTCGCTACAGGTTCGCTATAAGCAGTCTATAGTTTGACGGGGAAACCTAGAGTAAAGTTCGACGATGATGCAGCTATAAGCAGTCTATTGTTTGACAACGAGGAAACCTATAAACAAGAGTACTTATATTTATCAAGTTGTGTGAGGACAATTCTCTACAGGTTCGCGATAAGCAGTCTATAGTTTGACGGGGAAACCTAGAGTAAAGTTAACCGATGATGCAGCTATCAGCAGTCTATAGTTTGACGGGGAAACCTAGAGTAAAGTTAACCGATGATGCAGCTATAAGCAGTCTATAGTTTGACGGGGAAACCTATACAAGAGTACTTATATTTATCAAGTGGTGTGATCACAATTCTCTACAGGTTCGCTATAAGTAGTCTATAGTTTGACGGGGAAACCTATAAACAAGAGTACTTATATTTATCAAGTGGTGTGATCACAATTCTCTACAGGTTCGCTATAAGTAGTCTATAGTTTGACGGGGAAACCTATAAACAAGAGTACTTATATTTATCAAGTGGTGTGGGGATAATTCGCTACAGGTTCGCTATAAGCAGTCTATAGTTTGACGGGGAAACCTAGAGTAAAGTTCGACGATGATGCAGCTATAAGCAGTCTATTGTTTGACAACGAGGAAACCTATAAACAAGAGTACTTATATTTATCAAGTTGTGTGAGGACAATTCTCTACAGGTTCGCGATAAGCAGTCTATAGTTTGACGGGGAAACCTATAAACAAGAGTACTTATATTTATCAAGTTGTGTGAGGACAATTCTCTACAGGTTCGCGATAAGCAGTCTATAGTTTGACGGGGAAACCTATAAACAAGAGTACTTATATTTATCAAGTTGTGTGAGGACAATTCTCTACAGGTTCGCGATAAGCAGTCTATAGTTTGACGGGGAAACCTATAAACAAGAGTACTTATATTTATCAAGTTGTGTGAGGACAATTCTCTACAGGTTCGCGATAAGCAGTCTATAGTTTGACGGGGAAACCTATAAACAAGAGTACTTATATTTATCAAGTTGTGTGAGGACAATTCTCTACAGGTTCGCGATAAGCAGTCTATAGTTTGACGGGGAAACCTATAAACAAGAGTACTTATATTTATCAAGTTGTGTGAGGACAATTCTCTACAGGTTCGCGATAAGCAGTCTATAGTTTGACGGGGAAACCTATAAACAAGAGTACTTATATTTATCAAGTTGTGTGAGGACAATTCTCTACAGGTTCGCGATAAGCAGTCTATAGTTTGACGGGGAAACCTATAAACAAGAGTACTTATATTTATCAAGTTGTGTGAGGACAATTCTCTACAGGTTCGCGATAAGCAGTCTATAGTTTGACGGGGAAACCTATAAACAAGAGTACTTATATTTATCAAGTTGTGTGAGGACAATTCTCTACAGTTGAATGTTAAGAAGACAACAGGTCTTATCATAGATTTCCGATGAAAGAACTCAAACATTACACCAGTGATCATCAATGGAAAAGCCGTCCAAGCCGTGACAGAATTAAAGTACCTCGGGACCATCATTGACAATAACTTGACGTTTTACCCAAAACACAGATGCCATATACAAAAAGTGTCAGTCTCGCCTATACTTTCATACGGAAAGTGCGATCTTTTAATATTGACTCCAGAATAATGGTTATTATCTTATAAAGGTTTATTTCAACTTTCTCTGTGCAATGTGGAAACAGTGGCCTCTCACTTCAAAACAAGAATAGACTGAAGAAGAGTGAAAGTATAGGAGGGACGATTGCCGGATGTGAATGGGAGAACCTTGACGTTTAATACGAAATGTATGTTGTTAATTTAGACTCATGAATTTTAGACGATCCACTTTTAGAACTCTTGTTATCCTGTTTACAATCTGGACAGAGATATCTCATTCCGAAAGTTATATCTTAACGATACAGGACCTCGTTTATTCCAGTTAGCGTATCACTTTTAAACAAATGTCAAATCCTCGTATTTTTAAGTGTTTTAACCAAATATCTACAGCACTTGAATCGCATACCTTTAAAAGTTTTGATGCTCTTAATACTAACTGTAAGATACTACTACTTACTGCCAGAATTCCTCTGCTGCTGTGTGCGATAGAGAGTCATTGTTCCACCGATTGTCATCAAAGTGTGTGCCATTGCTGTGTGCTGCTGCCACGGATGTGTAGGCGCTATTGAAGCCGCTGGTCATGTTTACTAGTCCAGTCCCATTCACATTCGTAGAATTGAACGCTACAAAATGAAACATGCATGCTTTGATGAAGTATTATCATATTTCAAAACTGGAAGAACATTGGATGTGCATTAAACAGTGTAAATAATACTGTTCTGTTCACGATGAAGGACATACACTGGCATCAGATGTTTAAAGCCTGTTTAACAAAACATGTTTTTTAGGGTTAATATTCTAAACAGATAATGGAACAGTGGAACCTGTCAAAGACTTGCGTGGGATCAAATATTTTCGTCCAGTCAGACAGAGGTCCGGATTAGTAAGATTGCTGCAAGAGTTACGCCCCTTACTGTCCCAACATGAACACAGATCGAAGACACATATGAAACATGGGTTTAAAAGTATGTGTCCTGTATCTTCTAGTCTGTCTCACAGTCTCCGAAACTTATTATTTCCCCTCGAACCATTCCTCACTGAAATGGTATAGCCCTAAATAAAGCAAGTCTAGATTTTCCACAGATTTAGGTCTCAATATTCTATCTCAGGGGTTCCATTTCAAGTTGTTTCAAGCAAAGTTATATATTTTCAGAGGTCAAGTGTAAGTCTACATATGTACGTACGGTGTTGCTTTACAATCTTTTGGCAAAAGACCCGTGACGACCCGGGGTAGAAGAGGTCATCGGCAACCCATGCGTGCCGTAAAAGCCGAGCGACTAACGGGATCGGGTGGTCAGACTCGCTGACCTGGTTGCATGTCATCGATCCCAATTGAGTGGATAGATGTTCATGATATTAATCACTGGATTGTCTGGTCCAGACTCGATTATTTACAGACCTCCGTCCTATAGCTTGAATATTGCTGAGTGCGGCGTTAAACAACCAACCAACCAACTTTTGGCAAAACGCGTAGCCCATTGTTGTAAAGTCATGTAGTATGAAAAAAATATCTGCACAAAATATCACCACGTGTTGAATTATGACATCATAGCGGACGGGTCATACCATCAGTTAGTCTTTGGTTTAAGGCCTTGACGCTCGTGACGCATGCGTCGGTGTTCCAGATGTTGTTACAGTCTGTCCACGGGAGGGTGGTTCTGCAGGAGTAGATGGTGTAGTAGAGCGCCCAGGCGCAGATGACGGTCAGGTAGACCACACAGCTGAAGCACATGATCATCATACTCAGTCCGATACCTGCAAACAGAGAGATGATTTCTGTTGGGATGACAAATGCAAGTAGGCATTGAGAAGCGAGTCAGTGTTCTCGTGAGGTGAAAATGGTGTTTATCGTCGCTTTCGAGATGATAGCACTAATATAGCGATGTGCATGCATATATGTGTGTGTGTGTGTGTGTGTGTGTGTGTGTGTGTGTGTGTGTTTGCTTGTATGTGTGTGTGTGTGTGTGTGTGTGTGTGTGTGTGTGTGTGTTTGCTTGTATGTGTGTGTGTGGGGGGGGGGGGGGGGGGGGGTGTGTGGGGTGTGTGTGTGTGTGTGTGTGTGTGTGTGTGTGTGTGTGTGTGTGTGTGGCTACTTATACTATTACGGACTTCTACCGGTTTTATAGTGCTAGCCTGCTGCGACACCATACCGTAGTTTAACATGAATTCCCCACTCAGACACGGTATACCGAGCCGACCAGTCTATGTGTTTTCCATTGATGCCGAGAGCCAGGCAGGGAAACAGTGAATTATATCGTTTAATGTATTTTGGTATGAATCGGCCGGGGTTCGCACCACTGACCTTCCGCTCTCCGGACAGACGCTCTATCCACTATACCACGGAGACGGTCAGAAGGTTCCTTAAATGCGCAAACATGTATGCACGGGTTACCCAGTGGTCGAAGGAGCCATGGTTCTTAGCGCATAGTTGCGTCCCTTAGGTGTGCTAGAAAACCTATAAACGTGGGTTCGAATCCCAGTTCGCACTGATTAAGGTTCTAAGTCAGCACCATACCCGTGCTCGTGGGTTTCACCAAAGTGGTGAACGACTGAGACCTACATCACTTCGGACTTTCCACAAACATCAGGTTGACACGCCGTGATATAAATTAAATTATGTTCGAAGGGGCGGTAAATCCAACACAGTCACTGTTTATTTTCATGCAATCTAATAAAGATCAGATCTTACTTCTCGCTGCAGCTAAACAAGAACTAAGATCTGGGCCCACTTGCACAAAGCGATCTTAGTGTTAAGATTATCGAAAACCTATGTTAAAGTGTGGGAATATAATGGGAGATAATCTTAGCGCTAAGATCGCTTTGTGCAAGTGGGCCCTGATTTTAATGAGATTGATTTTCATGTTGAGAAAAACCTTACCCTTTAACAATGGACAAAGGCTCCATACGTGTGTCGGACTCATCGCTGAAAACTGCCCAAGGGACATCTCAAGGAAGAAAAGAGGCAGACCACACAACACAAGACACACGAGGAAAGGAATCAAGAAGGCACCTGAAATATATAAACAATAACTATACAGTAAACAGTCATCCAAAGGCTCCACTCATTTGAAAATCATAGTATTTTGGCTTATATCATATGATCCTAAGCTGGCCTGGTGGTGATTAACCTTTCAGTGGTTTCGGTGTATTACAAGCCTTCGTACACGTTATGCGATCTAGTGGTTGAATTTCGTATAACGGACCTCCTTTAATAGAGGTCTGAATTTGAATGGCCTTCATGAAACAAAACTAATGTTACATGTATATGTTTTTACATTGAATGTAAATAACTGCTGAAAACGACATGCATGAATAATAGGCAAAGTGTTAGAAAAGTGTGATGTTCCATATCAACAACAACAGAGAACTTGATATCAAAGAGGTAAATCTAAATATGTTGTGAAAGCAAAGTTAAGTCATTATTTTTCTCAATCCCAAATTTGAAAACAAAAAATATTATTAACCTCCTCCGTTTCTGTTGCAGATGTAGGGGAATCGCCATACGTTACCAAGGGCAACACAGAAGCCTACTACAGACAAAAGGTATTCCAGCTGTGATGCCCAATGTCCTCTCTTATTTTCATTTTTTTCGCCTTCGTCGTCGATACAGTCTTTGGAATCCATCATGGCTACTGATTCGTAGGACTTCTCGTCATACTTCGGGTTGGACTGCATCTTCTGAAAAGTGGTAGTCAATGATTCAGTTTTGTTATCAAGCCATTAATACTATGGCACCTATAATTAATCTGGACCAGAGAAACCATGAATTGACAGCAGGCAACAATACACGCCTTATGGAATGGTGAGACACAATCAGCCAAATAATGACTTACTCTCTCTGCAGAAAATACCTATATACTCAAAAGATATTTAGAATAGACTGCTAAATCGCAACAAGTTGCAAATGGGGTTTAATGTCGCTTCAAAATTATTGTTCTTGTATACGTATTACTTGTACTAGTGCTGGTGCTGGTACTAGTACGGACTTATGCCACTGAGACACCATGCCGCAGTTTAACATGGACACCCCAGTCAGACAGAGTGTAGGGATTCCGAGCTTGTTTTAGTCCCCTAATGTCGAGCGCCAGGCAGGTAACAAGAAATACTATGTTTTAACGTAGTTTGATATAACCTTGCAGAAAACCCGTGAAGATCCGGGGTAGAATAGGACTTCGGCAACCCACGCTTGTCGTAAAAGGCGACTATGCTTGTCGTAAGAGGCGACTAACGGGACCGGGTGGTCAGGCTCGCTGACTTGGTTGATGCATGTCATCGATCTCAATTGCGTGGATCGATGCGCATGATGTCAATCACTGGATTGTCTGGTCCAGACTCGATTATTTAACAGACCGCACTCATATGGCTGGAATATTGCTGAGTGCGGCGTTAAACAACAAACAAACAAACAAACAAACCTGGCAGAAGATCTACCCATACACGACTGAGACGGTCGAATATTTCAGTATCGAGGTAGTGTGTTATTGATTGTGTAAAAGATTCTTTAAAAAGTATTTAACAGGAACAGTTACACAAGAATATTCAGAAGACGTTATTGCTAGCAATGACTGAAAAGCGGCATCTCGCTGTGTAAAGGTTTGTTTGTTGTTTAAGGCTGCACTTGGAATTATTCCAGCCAAAAAATCCAGGTCAAAAATCAATTCTGGACCAGAAGCATAGGCTACTGGGTATCTATGTTCTGGGTATCTATATACCGGGTACCTATACTGGGTATCTATATTCCGGGTAGCTATATACTGGGTACCTATATACTGGGTACCTAAAAACCGGGTACCTATATATACTGGATACCTGTATACTGTGTATCTATATTCTGTTTATCTATATACCGGGTACCTATGTACTGGATACGTATATACTGGGTACCTATATGTACTGGCTACCTGTATACTGTGTATCTATATACCGGGTACCTATATACTGGGTACCTATATACTGGGTACCTATATACTGGGTACCTATATACTGGGTACCTATATACTTGGTACCTATATACCGGGTACCTATATACTGGGTACCTATATGCTGGGTACCTATATACCGGGTACCTATATATACCGGATACCTGTATACTGTGTATCTATATTCTGGGTATCTATATACCGGGTAGCTATATACTGGATACGTATATACTGGGTACCTTTATATACTGGCTACCTGTATACTGTGTACCATATACTAGCTACCCTTATTCCTACCCGGATCCTCCACGGGTTGCTGACGATCAGCAGCTCCTCCGTTTCGTTTCTCCCACATTGAACTAACACCCAGTGATGTAATTGTAAGCCGTTCAAACATACCTTAATCCCAAGCTCAACCCCTCATACAAATACATATTATTATAATAGCGTAACGTCTTCTTAGCAATGCCAGATTACATTTCCATTCAAAGCAGAGCTTAATCACGAACTTGCCTGGAAGACACTATTTGGAGAAAGGAGAAAATATACCTATTTCAGTCCGCCCGACGCTATTGACAAACTGTTTTGTTTTGCTATTATGTTTAGAAAATAACCAATAACCTTGATAGAATATAATTTGTATTGTTCAACGACGTGATCAGGTACCTGTCAGCAACCATGTAGTCCAAACTGATAAAGTATTTTTTAAGGAGGTGATGAGGAACCTTATTATTAAAAATTATTAAAAAGCAGATAACGTGTTATTCAATTATTCAGGGCAGTGATCAATGGCCTTATAATAAAAGAAACAGATAACTATTGTTCAGGGAAGTGATTAGGAACCTTATATTCAAAACAGATAACGTATTGTTCGAGGAAATGATCAGCAGCCTAATTATACAAAAAGCAGATAACGAATTGTTCAAGGAAGAGATCAGGAACCTTAGTATTAAAAGGTAAATATAAACATACATACTATCAGCAATATTTATTTATTATTAGACCTTATTATTAAGGATGCTTTTGCTTTATGATCACACAATGTAACGTAAATGTGTATTATCATTGTAGCCAGAATCTCAACAACCTCCTGTGGTACAGCTGGATCATTGGTAATAGTGAACGCCATTGTGTACTGAACCAGAAACGACCGGAGAACGTTTACAATAATTGGATATGCATGAATAAACACAATATGCGGCTCACGATATACGAGGTATATGAATGTATGGAAAATCCCCAAACTTACCAGTGAATGACCAGTAACTATTCATGAAAAGTCCCAACGCTTATCTGCAGATGACTATTCGTGTGATTTATATTTCAAACATACAAAAATCTAAGTTGATATGGTTGTTCAAATTTCTGTGAGCTTTCTTTTCAAACTATTTATTTAAATTTTATTTCAAACTGAAAAGTAGCAAATAATTAGAAAATAATAAGTCCAAACCTCAAACGGTGTACATATCTCATATATGCATAGCTGGTAGAGCATGCCACCATGCTACAGAAGAGAGAAGACAATATCATGTATATACTTATGTACGTAATATATCTTTTTATGAATAGTCCGAAAAAACTTACGTACAAGGATGACGTTCAACTGTGGAAGAAACTCTCCGAGCCTGTTACTACAAGATACTGCGTTTCGCTCCTTGATAGATTCCTAGTGCCAGGAAGACCACGTGACATATTTATCCCCCCCCCCCCCCCTCCTCCCTACAATTGGATCAATGGTTTACGGGTGTACAGTAAAGTTGTCGGGGTGATAAATGTATGCTGTAGGAATTACACGTGGATTTAGCTCATGGTGTCCGTGTAGGAGAGATTATTGGTGATCTATGCCATTAAGTGCCATTGTGGGGGTAGGGGTAGAAATGCCAATGCCTGTTGTGTATACCCGTAGCTCTGTCAGGCGGTGAAATGAAACTGTCCAAACGTAAAGGGGATGGGGGTGGGTGGGTCACCTATGTATATACAGCATTGTATATGTAAGTACATTTGTCATTACGTGCCAACTCTCCCCGTGGAGATTTCTAGTCGTAAGAGGTGACTTGAATCGGGCTATATGGCCCGGTGATTGGTTGTTTGCGCGTCATCGTTCCCCGACGGGCGTTGCTCACAATATCAATCACTGGATTTTCAGACCAGACTCGATTATTTACAGGCCTCTGTAATATAGCTGGAGTATTACTGTGTGTGGCGTTAAACAACAGACACAAATACTTCACGTAAGTAATGGATAGTACTAAATGGATTATTCGAGGCAAAAACAGGACCGGGGCCACACCTGGTACAATGTGTGCTCGTTGTTCGTGTTGGATGATATATGTTTTTGGATAGAAGTCAAGAGTTCAACTGTCACTCCCGCTGGTAGTCACAATGGGAAACAAGCAAACTGAGCTGCGTGGGAGGAAAGCGAGAATTACGCCAAACATCGTTTGCCCGTTTATAATAATTTATTTGACGAATACTTAAAAGTATTATTAAAGTATTATCTTGTTATGAGTGAGTGAGTGAGTGAGTGAGTAAGTATGGTTTTACGCTGCTTTTAGCAATATTCCAGCAATATCACGGCGGGGAACACCAGAAATGGGCTTCACACATTGTACCCATGTCGGGAATCGAACCCGGGTCTTCGGCGTGACGAGCGAACGCTTTAACCACTAGGCTACCCGACCGCCCCTATCTTGTTATGAAGACATGGCTTCAAAATACAAAGTGTGAACTTTTTCAAAGGATTCAAAATGTTTTATGCCCCATATTTCCGAGCCGTATAGCAAACAACAGCAACAAGTATTATAATAGTAACGACGATGATGACGACGAATTCAAAGGGCTTTATATATTCAGTATTATTTTAATAACAGCGACAAAACCCTTTCCACATTCATAAGAAATCCCTGTTAAAAGTCCATAGCACGATTCCGACTATATCGTGACCATTTGCCTATGAATCATGAAATAGCGATGATACCAGGTGTTCGCTAAAAGGTGAGCGTATCCTGCCCCACCAGTGGCACCTGACACAAACACACGCAAAGGCAAGTCAATCGATCACCTTAACAATACGAGGATATAAGGTACACGTCAACTTATTTGCCACTGATGCGTCACATTTGGAAATGTCCTCCACATGTCTACAATAACACTTTTTAAAAGCTTTACTGAGGCCTTGAAAAATGTAAACTTGAACAAACAACTTCTGAGCAAAAGTCGCATGAAGCTCTTTGAAATCCTCGTAGAAAGAGCATGCTTGCTTGTACCTCAAAAGTTGTGAAACGTAAACATCAAACGTTGGACCTTCTGGAATATTGCTCGACATGACGGGAAAGTTGACTTTTGGAAAGTTGAATAATATTAATAAATATAGCGACAAAACCCTTTCCATGTTGAATAGAAATGTCTGCTAAACGCAGAGTCGATTGTACGATTCCGACTATATCATGAGCATGTGTTCATTAATCACTGTAAAAAAGTGATGATACCAGGTGTTCGCGAACAAGTCATCCCTTTTGTCGTACAATCTTGTGGAGAGTTTCTGTCACACAGTCTCTTTATGCACAGATCTATATATGAAACACCAGGTGGTACCACTGGTCGCCTTTATTTCTAGTTCAGGTGGGTAAATCAGTGCAGAGAATTGGCTATTTGACCGTTATTGAACGATATGTCGATATGAGGTCATCGACATACTTGAAGCTGAAGTTACACTTCTTGGCCAAATTGACTTGTTTTGACTTTGGGGCTATTTTCAGA